TCGTGCTTTTCTTCTGTTAATCTGGCTTTTCTCAGTTTAATTTGCAGGCCCTATGCACAGAACTTAATAGTCTAGATGAAAATCGTTTCTTTCCTGCCCGGCATTCCTCAAGTGCAATATGGCTGTGATGTGCCTTATGAGAAAATATGTTGTGTTCCAGAAGCTTCTTTCGGATATGAGTTACAGTGATGTTGGCGTGAGTCCAATTTGCATGCACCAACAGCATACGTTAAATAAGATGCCTTTTTTAGTTTGAGATGGAGTCTCGCTCTGTGGCCCAGGCTGGAGTGCAATGGCGCGATCTCAGCTCACTGCAACCTCCACCTCCGGGTTCAAACAATTCTCCTGCCTCAGTGCCCTGAGTAGCTGGAATTACAGGCAAGCGCCACCACGCCTGGCTAATTTTTATATTTTTAGTAGAGACACGTTTTCACCATGTTGGCCAGGCTGGTCTCGAACTCCTGACCTCAGGTGATCCGCCCGCCTCAGCCTCCCAAAGTGCTGGGATTACAGGTGTGAGCCACTTTGCCTGGTCAACAAGGTGTTTTTAAAACAGAAACTCACGTCAAAAAAGGTTATGCATTCTATTTATTTATTCATTTATTTTCAGATGGAGTCTTGCTCTGTCGCTCAGGCTGGAGGGCAGTGGTGTGATCTCAGCTCACTGCAACCTCTGCCTCCAGGATTCAAGCAATTCTCCTGCTTCAGCCTCCTGAGTGGCTGGTAGCTGGGATTACAGGCCTGCGCCACCACCCCCGGCTGATTTTGTATTTTTGGTAGAGACGGTGTTTCCCCATGTTGGCCAGGCTGGTCTCGAACGCCTGACCTCAGGTGATCTGCCCGCCTCAGCCTCCCAAAGTGCTGGGATTACAGGCATGAGCTACCATGCCTGGCTGATTTTGTATTTTTGGTAGAGACGGTGTTTCCCCATGTTGGCCAGGCTGGTCTCGAACGCCTGACCTCAGGTGATCTGCCCGCCTCAGCCTCCCAAAGTGCTGGGATTACAGGCATGGGCTACCACGCCTGGCTGATTTTGTATTTTGGGTAGAGAGGGGGTTTCCCCTTGTTGGTCAGGCTGGTCTTGAACTCCTGACCTCAGGGGATCCACTGTCGTCGGCCTCCCAAAGTGCTGGGATTACAGGTGTGAACCACCATGCCTGGCTTAATTTTTGTATTGTTATTATTTTTTTAAGTAGACATGGGGTTTTGCCATGTTGGCCAGGCTGGTCTCCAACTCCCGACCTCAGGTGATCCACCCGCCTTGACCTCCCAAAGTGCTGGGATTCCAGACATGAGGCATCACGCCTGACCTTTATTCCTTTCGTTTCTTAATAAACTTGTTTTCCCTTTATGCTACGGACCAGCCCCGAATTTTTTCTTACCCAAATTGCATTCTGCAGGATCAGGGGTGGTGTCTCTTTTCTGACTCAGGAAGAGAGGGCGGGTGATTTGCGCCAAACCCTTTCTTGGAACTCGGAGGGCACGGGGATTTTGTAACCAATGCTGTTCTGCAAGACAGAAGTTTGGCCCAGTGAGCGTGTGGCAGGTCAGGTCTCAGTCAGACAGCCCTCCGTCACAACCGCTTCAGCACTGACTCAGTGGCAAAATTAAATATGAAAAGCTGAAAGAGGCCGGGTGCGGAGGCTCACGTCTGTAATCCCAGCACTTTGGGAGGCCGAGGTGGGCGGATTGCTCGAGGTCAGGAGTTCAAGACCAGCCCCACCAAAACAGTAAAACCCTGTCTCTTCTAAAAATGAATTAGGTGGATGGATTGCTTGAGGTCAGGAGTTTGAGACCAGCCCGACCAAAACAGTAAAACCCTGTCTCTTCTAAAAATGAATTAGGTGGGTGGATTGCTCGAGGTCAGGAGTTCAAGACCAGCCCCACCAAAACAGTAAAACCCTGTCTCTTCTAAAAATGAATTAGGTGGGTGGATTGCTCGAGGTCAGGAGATCGAGACCAGCCTGACCAAAACAGTAAAACCCTGTGTCTACTAAAAATAAATTAGGTGGGTGGATTGCTCGAGGTCAGGAGTTCAAGACCAGCCCCACCAAAACAGTAAAACCCTGTCTCTTCTAAAAATGAATTAGGTGGGTGGATTGCTCGAGGTCAGGAGATCGAGACCAGCCTGACCAAAACAGTAAAACCCTGTGTCTACTAAAAATAAATTAGGTGGGTGGATTGCTCGAGGTCAGGAGTTCAAGACCAGCCCCACCAAAACAGTAAAACCCTGTCTCTTCTAAAAATGAATTAGGTGGGTGGATTGCTCGAGGTCAGGAGATCGAGACCAGCCTGACCAAAACAGTAAAACCCTGTGTCTACTAAAAATAAATTAGGTGGGTGGATTGCTTGAGGTCAGGAGTTCAAAACCAGCCTGACCAAAACAGTAAAACCCTCTCTCTACTAAAAATGAATTAGGTAGGTGGATTGCTTGAGGTCAGGAGTTCAAGACCAGCCTGACCAAAATAGTAAAACCCTATCTCTACTAAAAATAAATTAGCCGAGTGTGGTGGTGCACCTCTAGTCCCAGCTACTCAGGAGGCTGAGGTGGGTGGATTGCTTGGAGTCAGGAGTTCAAGACCAGCCTGACCAACATGGTAAAACCCTGTCTCTACTAAAAATCAAACATTAGCTGGGCGTGGTAGCGGGCACCTGTAGTCCCAGCTACTCAGGAGGCTGAGGCCGGAGAACTGCTTGAACCCAGGAGGCGGAGGTTGCAGTGGGCCGAGATCACGACAGTGCACTCCAGGCTGGGCAACAGCCAGACCGTCTTGCTCTGTTGCCCAGGCTGGAGTATAGTGGCACCATCTCGGCTCAGTGCAGCCTCTGCCTCCTGGGTTCAAACGATCCTCCTGCCTCAGCGTTCTGAGAAGCTGGGGTTACAGGTGCTCACCACCACGCCCGTCTAATTTTGTATTTTTAGTGGAGAAGGAGTTTCTCTATGTTGGTCAGGCTGGTCTTGAACTCCTGACCTCAGGTGATCTGCCCACCTCAGCTTTCCAAAGTGCTGGGATTACAGGCGTGAGCCTCCGTGCCTGGACTAAGGAAGGAATTTTTAACAGGACCCATTTAGGTTTAAACAAGTCTTATTGGGGGGGTATAAACAAACTCCCAAAACTTTATGATTTCACAGAAGACAAGATACGATACTGCCTGTAATCCCAGTGCTTTGGGGGCCTGAGATGGGGGGATCACTTGAGGTCAGGAGTTCGAGACCAGCGTGGCCAACATGGCGAAACCCCGTCTCTTCTAAAAGTACAAAAAGTTAGCCAGGTGTGTGTTGTGGGGGGTCCCTGTAATCCCAGCTCCTCTGAGGCAGGAGAATCACTTGAACCCGGGAGGCGGAGGTTGCACTGAGCCGAGATGGAGCCATTGCATTCCAGCCTGGGTGACGAAGTGAGACTCTGTCTCAAAGAAAAAAAAAAAGGGAAGCAAAACCCCATGTAAAGCTATAAATGGGTCAGATAAGTCCATGGAAGACGCCTGTCTTGCCCAGAAGCAGAGGACTCGGAAAGGAAAATATCTGAGACCCCAAAATCATGAAGCTAAAAGGAACATTCATGCTGGGAGCTGCTCAGGGGTGCCTGCCTCCCATTCTGTTTTTTTTTTTTAATTTTTTTTATTTATTTATTTTTTAAATTGCATTTTAGGTTTTGGGGTACATGTGCAGAACATGCAAGATAGTTGCATAGGTACACATGTGGCAGCGTGATTTGCTGCCTTCCTCCCCTTCACCTATATCTGGCATTTCTCCCCATGCTATCCCTCCCCAGCTCCCCCCCACACTGTCCCTCCCCTATTCCCCCCAATAGACCCCAGTGTGTATTGCTCCCCTCCCTGTGTCCATGGGTTCTCATTATTCAACACCCGCCTATGACTGAGAACATGTGGTATTTCATTTTCTGTTCTTGTGTCAGTTTGCTGAGAATGATGGTCTCCAGGTTCATCCATGTTCCTACAAAGGACATGACTTCATCATTTTTGATGGCTGCATAATATTCCATGGTGTATCTGTGCCACATTTTCCCAGTCCAGTCTCTCCTCGATGGGCATTTGGGTTGATTCCAGGTCTTAGCAAAGACCTGCCTCCCATTCTATTCAAGGTCTCCCCTCTGCTCACTGCGATATTCTGATTGCCACCTTTGGAAAGGCTCATCAGAAACTCAAAAGTCCCTGTCTTTTTCCTTCTCATTTTTTTTTTTTTTTTGTTGCTATAGAGTCTCACCGTGTCTCTCAGGCTGGAGTGCAGTGGCGTGATCTCAGCTCATTGCAACCTCCACCTCCCAGATTCAAGGGATTCTACTGCCTCAGCCTCCCGAGTAGCTGGGATTACAGGCATGCGCCAGCACATTTAGCTAATTCTGTATTTTTAGTACAGACTGGGTTTCTCCATGTTGGCCAGGCTGGTCTCAAAGTCCCCACCTCCTGTGATCCGCCCACTTCGGCCTACCAAAGTGCTGGGGTTACAGGCGTGAGCCACCTGACCTGGCTAGTTTTATTATTTTTAAATTTTTTATTTCTTTGAGATGGAGTCTTACTCTATTGCCCAGGCTGGAGTGCAATGGCGCGATCTCGGCTCACCGCAACCTCCGCCTCCTGGGTTCAGGCAATTCTCCTGCGTCAGCCTCCTGAGTAGCTGGGATTACAGGCACGCGCCACCACGCCCAGCTAATTTTTGTATTTTTAGTAGAGACTGGGTTTCACCTTGCTGACCAGGATTGTCTCGATCTCTTGACTTCGTGATTCACCCGCCTCGGCCTCCCAAAGTGCTGGGATTACAGGCGTGAGCCACCGCGCCCGGCCCTAATTTTTGTACTTTTAGTAGAGACGAGGTTTCACCATGTTGGCCAGGCTGGTCTCAAACTCCTGACCTCCTGATCTGCCCACCAGGGCTTCTCAAAGTGCTGGGATGACAGGCATGAGCCCCCATGCCCGGCTGTAAACATCGTTGTTAAAAATGAATATTCTATCATGAAAGCAACGTGACAATAATTAACAGATATGAGACTTAGTACCTGGTTTGATTAAAGAGACCGTACAGTGAGTCCCCATGACACAAGTTTACCTATATGAGAAACCTGCACATATACCCATAAACTGACCCCCAAAAGGACAGAAGGTTGAGATAAATAAGCATAAGGTACAGAAACCTCATCACGTGTTCAGGGCGGAGTGCACGTGGCAGCCACAAGGATACATGACGTTACTCTGGCCACATTCAGTGGCTCACATCTGTAACCCCAGCACTTCTGGAGGTGGAGGTGGGAAGATGGCTTGAGCTCAGGAGTTCAAGACCAGCCTGGGTAACACAGCGAGACCCCTTCTCTTGAGAAAATCAAAAATTAGCCAGGCATGGTGATGGATGCCTGTCATCCGAAGTACCAAGGAGGCCGAGGTGGGAGGATCACTTGAGCCTCAGAAGTAGAGGCTGCAGTGAGCCAAGATGGCGCCGCTGAGCTCCGACCTGGCCAGAGGATCTCCCTAGCAATCATTTCCTTCCCCTCAATAGAATTCCTTCTCTCCCACTCCAGGGTAGAAGATGCAAACCCTAAGAACATCGGACATGCAGGAGAATCTCTCTTCTCCCTCTGCAAAGGCCTGTTTTTGTGGGACGGACGCGCCACGCTTTCTGTAACCACAGGACGGTGCAGAACCCTGGGTCCGCCTCTGAGGCTCGGTCTTCATTCTAAAGCCTCCTGTGCTTACTACACGTTGCATGAATTTGCACACCTCACACCTGTCATCCCAGCACTTTGGGAGACCGAGGCGGGCAGATCACCTGAGGTTGGGAGTTGGAGACCAGCCTGATCATCATGGACAAATTCCCGTCTCTACTAAAAATACAACATTGGTTGGGCGTGGTGGTGCATGCCCATAATCCCACGGAGGCTGAGGCAGGAGAATCACTTGCTTGAACCCGGGAGGCGGAGGTTGCTGTGAGTCAAGATCGCACCATCAAAATTCAGCCTGGGCCACAAGAGCAAATTTCCTTCAAAAAAAAAAAAATTAATTAATTAAAAAAGCTGGGCGCGGTGGCTCACACTTGTAATCCCAGCACTTTGGGAGGCCGAGGCGGGTGAATCACGAGGTCAAGAGAGCCAGACCAGCCTGGTCACCATGGTGAAACCCCGTCTCTACTCAAAATACAAAAAATTAGCTGGGCATGGTGGCGCGTGCCTGTAATCCCAGCTACTCAGGAGGCTGAGGCAGGAGAATTGCCTGAACCCAGGAGGCGGAGGTTGCGGGGAGCCGAGATCGCGCCATTGTACTCCAGCCTGGGTGACAAGAGCGAAACTCCGTCTCAAAAAAAAATAATAATAAAGAATTAGGGAAGCTGGTGAGCACCGCGTTACTCAACAGGAGGAGAGAGGCAGGCGCGGACGGAGGACGTGGCCATGCTGCTGATGTCACTCATGAGGCCGCAGGCCATGGAACCCTCGTGTTTCCGCCCGCGTGGATGGGCAGGGGCTGAACGTGGATCGCTGTGGCTCTTCTCCGGCCAAGCCCATGTCCAGGAGACTACTTCCTTCTGTCCCTTGTTAGACACTGAACACCCAAGACACAGCCTTCTCCAAACGGAGTCTGGCCTTGGCTCTCGGCTGGAGGGCGGTGACCTCTCAGGTCCCGGAATGGCCCCTGAGACTGTCTTTGTAGGCTTCATGGTCTAACAGTGTGGTTTAAGGTGGGTGCCTTGGACCAAGTGAGATCAGTTCCAACTTCCAGGAGGGAGCCTGACAAATAGCAGATAGATCCGATCTATCTATCTATCTATCTATCTATCTATCTATCTATCTATCCATCTATCTATCTATCTATCTATCTATCTATCTATCTATCTATCTATCTATCAATCATCTATGTATCTATCATCTATCTATCATCTATGTATCTATCTATCTATCTATCTATCTATCTATCTATCAATCATCTATGTATCTATCATCTATCTATCTATCATCTATGTATCTATCTATCTATCTATCTATCTATCAATCATCTATGTATCTATCATCTATCTATCTATCATCTATGTATCTATCTATCTATCTATCTATCAATCAATCAATCAATCAATCATCTATGTATCTATCATCCATCTATCTATCATCTATGTATCTATGTATCTATGTGTCTATCATCTATCCATCTATCATCTATGTATCTATTATCTATCATCTATCTGTCTATCATCTATGTATCTATCTATCTATGTGTCTATCTATCATCTATCTATCAATCTATGTATCTATGTATGTATGTATATATCATCTATCTATCTATCTACATATTTCTCTATCTGTCTGTCTGTCTACCTATCTATCTATCTATATGTATCATGTATCTAAAATTCACCCATCAAGGCCTGGCGAGGTGGCTCACCCCTGTAATCCCACCACTTTGGGAGGCCGAGGTGGGTGGATCACTTGAGGTCAGGAGTTCGAGACCAGCCTGGCCAACATGGTGAAACCCCATGTCTACCAAAAATATTAAGACCTGGTGGTGTGATGGTGGACACCTGTAATCCCAGCTGCCCTGGAGGCTGCAGCCAGAGAATTGCTTGAAACTGGGAGGCGGAGGTTGCAGTGAGTTGAGATCGTGCCACTGCACTCCAGCCTGGGCAACAGAATGTGACTCCATCTCATAAAACAAAACAAAATAAAATACTAAAATAAAATGAAGTTCATCCATCATGTATTTATCAAATATGTGTCAGTCACGTATCTAGCTACCATCTATCACCCATATATCTATCATCTGTTCATCTATCATATATATTTTTATCTGTCATCTACTAATTATCACCTATCAATCATCCATCAGTCATCTATCAAATAGTCAATCATCTATTACCTATCCACCTGTCACTTCTTCATTTATCATTTTTTCATCTGTCATCTACCAATTAGCACCTATCAATCACCTATCTGTCATCTACATATATCATCTATTTTTTTTTTTTTTAAGACAGGGTTTCTCCATGTTGGTTAGGCTGGACTCGAACTCCCGACCTCAGGTGATCTGCGTGCCTCGGCCTCCCAAAGTGCTGGGATGACAGGCGTGAGCCCCCGCGCCTGGCCCCAGATATCATATATTTAAATACAAATATACGCCAGCCGCGGTGGCTCACGCCTGCAATCCCAGTACTTTGGGAGGCAGAGGTGGGCAGATCACCTGAGGTCAGGAGTTCGAGACCATCCTGGGCAACCTGCTAAAACCCTGTCTCAACTAAAAACACAAAAATTAGCCTGGTTTGGTGGCAGGTGCCTGTAATCCCAGCTACTCGGGAGGCTGAGGCAGGAGAATCGCTTGAACCCCGGAGGCAGAGGTTGCGGTGAGCCGAGATAGCGCCATTGCACTCCAGCCTGGGACACACAGCGAGACTCTGTTGCAAAAACGATACAAAACAAAAGCATAGAAAACGATATGAAGGTTGACAGCATCATGAACACAAATACAGTTGCTGAATGTCTCGGGGGCGGAGAGGCGCCTGCTGCTCCTACACCCTCTGAGTCTCATGCAACTTCTTTCACCGTCAGGATCTCTTCGCGGTAGACCTTCCCTTCCTCTGCGGCGAATTCCTCCCAGATTATCTGAAAAAAAGAAGGAGGATTACTGCAGCCTCCACCTCCTGGGTTCAAGCAATTCTCCTGCCTCAGCCTCCCAAGTAGCTGGGATGACAGGCGCCTGCCACCCTGCCCGGTAATGTTTGTATTTTTAGTAGAGACAGGGTTTCACTCTGTCGACCAGGCTGGTCTCGAACTCCTGGCCTCAAGGTGATCCCCCCCGCCTCGGCCTCCCAAAGTGCTGGGATGACAGGCGTGAGCCACCGCGCCCTCCCGGGGGGGGTGGTGTTTTTCCTGGGGTGAAGATCTGAGACAGACCCACCCATGTGATCTCATGGTTGGCGATGAACAGAGTGGTCTTGGGAAGAGCTTCTGAGCCTGAACTCAGGACAGGGTACGGGAGGTGATAAGGCCTTAGTCATGGTCCTGGCAACTCGAGGTGGGGAACCCCTGGGGGTCAGTGGAAAGTGGGGGCCGGGGAGGACGCTAGCATGGGGGTGGAAGAAAACAGAATGACAGATGGCCAGGGATGCAGGTGGGCCTCATCTAATCAGTTGAAGGTCCAAAGGGGAGGACGGTGGGACTCATCTAATCAGTCCAAAATCTAAAGGGGAAAGTCGAGCCTCAGCTAATCCGTTGAAGGGCTCAAAGGGGAAATGCTGGGCCTCATCTAAATAGTGGAAGATCTAAGAGAAGGGTGGACCTCATCTAATCAGCTGAAGGTCTGACGGGGGAAGGTGGGCCTCATCTAAATAGTGGAAGATTCTAAAGAGGAAAAGGTGGGCCTCATAATCAGTCAAAGGTCTAAATGGTAAAGGCTGAGGTTTTCTGGAGAAGAGATTGTTTTGTTTTTGCTTTTACACAGAGTCTGACTCTGTCGCCCAGGCTGCAGTGCAATGGCGGGATCTCGGCTCACTGCAACCTCTGCCTCCCGGGTTCAAGTGATTCTCCTGCCTCAGCCTCCTGAGCAGCTGGGAGGATTACAGGCGCCTGCTGCCACGCCCAGCTAATTTTGTATTTTCAGTTGAGACGGGGTTTCAGCATGTTGGTCAGGCTGGTCTCAAACCCCCGACCTCAGGTGATCCAGCCGCCTCGACCTCCCAAAGTGCAGGGATTACAGGCATGAGCCACCGCGTCCAGCCCAGTCTACCTCCCCCACCTGCCTCAATTTCTCCTAATGGAGCTCACAGAGAAAACGCTGACCACGACCTGACTACACCCTGACCCAATCCCAGGCGGAAGGGCCAGGAGCTGGATACAGATTCCAGCCACACCCCGTGGTGACGCCGAGGTTCCAGCTGGTGGAGAATCAGGACAGCTGACACTCAGAACCCGTGTCCCCATTCCCCGTTCCCCGGTTTTCCACCCCAGCTCTCCGCTCCGCCCACCCCTACCTACCTGGTCCTCCACCTGACTCTCATCGTTGAGTTTGTCTTTGATTTTTGGAACTGGGGGGAAGAGTCGCTGCATCACGACACACCTGAGGGACAGAGAGAGAAAGTGTGAAGGGAGCCCCAGGCCACCAGAGTTCCTTCCTCAGGATGCTCAGTTCAAGGTATCTGAGATCAACTACCCAAAACAACTTCACTAAGAATCACCAAGTGATGAAAATCTTGGCCAGGCGCGGTGGCTCACGCCTGTCATCCCAGCACTTTGGGAGGCCGAGGCACGCAGATCACCTGAGGTCGGGAGTTCGAGACCAGCCTGGCCAACATGGTCAAACCCCGTCTCTACAAAAAATTAGCAGAGTGTGGTGGCGGGTGAGTGTCAACCCAGCCACTGTGGAGGCTGAGTCAGGAGGATTGCCTCAATCCGGGAGGTGGAGGTCGCAGTGAGCTGAGATGGCACCATTGTACTCCAGCCTGGACGACGGGAGCAAGACTCCATCTCAGAAAAAAAAAAAAAAAAGGAAAAAAGATCATTGCAAATGTAATTAGTTAAGGATGTCAAGATGACATGATCCTGGGTTGGAGGGAGTTCTAAATCCAATGACAGGAATCCTTCTGAGACAAGCAGAGGAGGAGGCCACGTGGAGACAGCGGCTGAGACTGCAGTGATGGGGCCGCAAGCCCAAGGCACCCGGTGCCCCCCAGGAGCTGGGCAAGGCAGGAAGCATCCTCCCCTGGAGGCTCCAGAGGGAAGATGATACAATTGTTTTGAATCAAACTATCGTCCCCCTAAAACCTCTCTCCACAGCCTAAGTTCCGGAATTTGTGAATGGGGCCTTATCAGAGATACAATCTCTGCAAATGTCACTAAGTCAAGGATTTTGACATGAGAAGAGAGAGAAAGAGAGAGACACACACACAGAGAGAGAGAAGACACAGAGAGAGAGGGGGGAGGCAGAGAGAGAGATGATAGAGAGAGAAGAGAGAGAGATGAGAGAGAGAGGACAGAGAGACAGAGACAGAGAGAGAGGGCAGAGAGAGAAAGACAGAGAGAGAGAGGATAGAGAGAGAAAGAGAGAGAGAGAGGACAGAGAGAGAAAGACAGAGAGAGAGAGAGGACAGAGAGAAAGACAGAGACAGACAGAGAGAGAGAGGACAGAGAGAGAGAGACAGAGAAGAGCCGGGCGCATCACCTGAGCCCGGGAGTTTGAGACCAGCTTGACCAACATGGAGAAACCCCTTCTCTACCGAAAATACAAAAATTAAGCGGGTGTAGTGGCGCACGCACGTGGTCCTAGCTCCTCAGGAGGCTGAGGCAGGAGCTGAGACAACCAGGAAGCATCCTCCCCTAGAGCAGGAGCCACACAGGGCATGAAGGCAACACCTCTGTGCCTACAGCCCAGCTCTGTGGGGAGCAGGGGGGACCTCACGTCCGGCAACAACATGGCGTCCCAAGTAAGGTCTCCGTATTACTGGATGGGTGACGGGACCAGCAGCTACCTTTGCAGCCGTCTCTGTGTTTCTTTATTATTATTATTATTATTGCATTTTAGGTTTTGGGGTCCATGTGAAGAACATGCAGGACTGTTGCATAGGTGCACACGTGGCAGTGTGATTTGCTGCCTTCCTCCCCTTCACCTATATCTGGCATTTCTCCCCATGCTGTCTCTCCCCAGCTCCCCACGCCCCACTGTCCCTTTGCTATTTCTGCCCAACAGACCCCAGTGTGTGACGCTCCCCTCCCTGTGTCCATGTGTTCTCAGTGTTCAACACCCGCCTATGAGTGAGAACATGTGGTGTTTGGTTTTCTGTTCTTGTGTCAGTTTGCTGAGAGTGATGGTCTCCAGGTTCATCCATGTCCCTGCAAAGGATGTGAACTCATCCTTTTTGATGGCTGCATAGAATTCCATGGTGTCTACCAGACACATTTCCTTCATCTAGTCTATCATTGATGGGCATTTGGGTTGGTTCCAGGTCTTTGCTATTGTGAACAGGGCTGCAATGCACATACGTGTGTGTGTGGTGCACACGTGGCAGTGTGATTTGCTGCCTTCCTCCCCTTCACCTATATCTGGCATTTCTCCCCATGCTATGTCTCCCCAACTCCCCACCCCGCACTGTCCCTCCCCTATTCACACCCCAGTGCGTGATGCTCCCCTCCCTGTGTCCATGTGTTCTCATTGTTCAACACCCGCCTACGAGTGACCACATGCGGTGTTTGACACAGACACACTCTGGAGAAAGCGCCGTTGCCCCCACCCCGCCTGCCTGTTTGCCTGGGGGCTGCTGAGGTGTTTCAGGGATTACCTTTTAAAGAGGAAGCCGAGGACCAGGGCGCACACCAGGGTCCCGAGGATCAACGGCACGTAGATGTGCGCGGAGCTGGTCTGCCTATCATCAGAGCCTGGAGAGACACAGGAATGCATCTGCCATGAATCACTGACGGACGTGGGAAAGGAAATTAACTTTCTGTTTTTGGGAGGGAGGGACTGCAGTGGCTCACACCTGTCATGCCAGCACTTTGGGAGGCTGATGTGGGTGGATCACGAGGTCATGAGTTCAAGACCAGCCTGGCCAACACGAAAAAACCCCATCTCTACTAAAATACAAAAATTAGCTGGTTATGGTGGCGCGCGCCTGTAATCCCAGCTACTCGGGAGGCTGAGGCAGGAGAATTGCCTGAACCCAGGAAGTGGAGGTTGCAATGAGCTGAGGTCACGCCACTGCACTCCAGCCTCAGAAACACAGCGAGACTCTGTCTCAAAAAAAAAAAGACGTAGTTTTGCTCTTGTTGCCCAGGCTGGAGTGCAATGCCGTGATCTCTGCTCACCGCAAGCTCTGCCTCCCGGGTTCAAACGATTATCCTGCCTCAGCCTCCCGAGTACCTGGGATTACAGGCGTGCGCCACCACGCCCGGGCAATTTTTGTATTTTTGGTAGAGACGGGGGTTTCTCCGTGTCGGTCAGACTGGTCTCGAACTGCTGACCTCAGGTGATCCACCCGCCTCAGCCTCCCAAAGTGCTGGGACTACAGGCGTGAGCCACCGCGCCTGGTCAAGAAACTAACTTGTTTCGGGACTCCAAATGCATTTAGTGGAAGGGAAAAGCTGAGCGGAAACCGGCTTCAGCAAACCTGCCTCATTTTTGTTCCTAAGTAAGGCGGCCGTGAGATGAAAGGCCACCCGCCTCTCCGGGTTTTGCCCACAGGGAAATTCCTGGTGAGCTGTTAAAACTTCACCATCCCGCTGGGCGCCGTGGCTCATGCCTGTAATCCCAGCACTTTGGGAGACCGAGGCGGATGGATCAGAAGGCCAGGAGTTCGAGACCAGCCTGACCAAAATAGTAAAACCCTGTCTCGACTAAAAATAAATTAGGTGGGTGGATTGCTTGATGTCAGAAGTTCGAAACCAGCCTGATCAAAAGGAGAAATCCCATTTCTACTAAAAATAAATTAGGTGGGTGGATTGCTTGAGGTCAGGAGTTCGAGACCAGCCTGACCAAAATAGTAAAACCCTGTCTCAACTAAAAATAAATTAGGTGGGTGGATTGCTTGAGGTCAGGAGTTCGAGACCAGCCTGACCAAAATAGTAAAACCCTGTCTCAACTAAAAATAAATTAGATGGGTGGATTGCTTGAGGTCAGGAGTTCGAGACCAGCCTGACCAAAATAATGAAACCCTGTTTCTACTAAAAATAAATTAGGTGGGTGGATTGCTTGAGGCCAGGAGTTCAAGACCAGCCTGACCAAAATGGAGAAATCCCATCTCTACTAAAAATGTTAAATTATCCAGGCATGATGGCAGCTACCTGTAATCCCAGCTACTGGGGAAGGCTGAGGGAGGAGAATCGCCTGAACCTGGGAGATGGCGGTTGCAGTGAGCCGAGATCGCGCCACTGCACTCCAGACTGGGTGACAGAGTGAGGAACTCTACCTCAAAAAAAAAAAAATAGGCTGGGCGCAGGGGCTCACACCTGTAATTCCAGCACTTTGGGAGGCCAAAGTGGGTGGATCATCTGAGGTCAGGAGTTCGAGACCAGCCTGGCCAACATGGTGAAACCCTGTCTCTATATAAAAAATAATAATAATAAGAGGACATGACAGTATTCCTAGCCATGTTCTTTCTCTCTTTTTTTCTGACACAGAGTCTCGCTCTGTTGCCCAGGCTGGAGTGCAGTGGCATGATCTTGGCTCTCTGCAACCTCTGCCTCCCAGGTTCAAGTGATTCTTCTGCCTCAGCCTCCCAAGTGGCCGGGATTACCAGCGCCTGCCACCACACCCAGCTAATTTTTGTGTTTTTATTAGAAACGGGGTTTCACCATGTTGGTCAGGCTGGTCTTGAACTCCTGACCTCATGATCTGCACGCCTCGATCTTCCAATGTGCTGGGATTACAGGCGTGAGCCTCCGCGCCAGGCCTTTCCCGATACTCTCAATCAAATCTCAGCACGCAGGACAGGGTAGCTGATGTCTGTTCCGCCTTCAAGGTGGTGGCAGATGGTAGAAATGTCCCCAACATCTCCGCAGCACACCCCAGGGCTTACCAAATTCAGTGGGCTTGCTCCAGGGACCCCAGGTCAGAATGCGGAAGTCAGCGGCTCTGATCTTCACAGAACGCTTAGCTCTGGGCTCAGAGCTTGGGAGGTTGTATCTATTATCCCAGTCACCCTGGACTGTAATCTTTGGAGGAAAAAAAGGAACGTTTTGGGTTTTTTTTTGTTTTTTTTTTTTTTTGCATTTTTCAAGAGAGTTTCAAGTTTCTCTTGAAAACCTTTAAGAAACTTCAAGACAAAGTTTTTCAAGGGATGTTAAGAGAACTGTCTTCTACGTGGAGGAAAAGCTTGCCCTTTTTTCATTCTTTTGTCTTTAAAATTTTTTTTTTCTACTCTTTTTCTCTTTCTCTTTTGAGACAGAGTCTCGCACTGTCACCCAGGCTGGAGTGCAACGGTGTGATCTCTGCTCAGTGCGACCTCCGCCTCCCAGGTTCCAAGCGATTCTCCTGCCTCAGCCTCCTGAGTAGCTGGGATCACAGACGCGCACCACCACGCTATTTTTAGTAGAGACGGATTTTCACTATATTGGCCAGGCTGGTCTCAAACTTCTGACCTCAGACAGTCCGACCGCCTCAGCTTCCCAAAGTGCTGGGATTACAGGCGTGAGTCACCTCACCCGGCTTTTCCTTTTTTTCTGCCTCTCTGAATGCACCTGGTCTGATCTGAAGCAGAGTTAACTCTGGTTAGTATGGGGCATCATGTGGGAAAACCTGGGTGATTTCTACTCTATTCCATTTTATTTTATTTTATCTTATATTGAGACAGAGTCTCACTCTGTCACCCAGGCTGGAGTGCGGTGGCACGATCTCGGCTCACTGCACCCTCCACCTTCCGGGTTCAAGCCATTCTCTAGCCTCAGCCTCCTGAGTAGCTGGGATTACAGGTGACCGGCTGATTCTTGCATTTTCAGTAGAGACAGGGCTTCTCCGTGGTGGCGAAGCTGGTCTCGAACTCCTGCCGTCAAGTGATTTGTGGATGGTGGGAAACTCCTGACCTCATAATTCGCCCACGTCCGCCTCTCAGTACTGGGATTACAGGCTGAACCACCGTGCCTGGCTAAAATTTTACTTTTCAAAAAAGAAGGGGCGGGCACGGTGATTCACATGTGTAATTCCAGCACTTTGGGAGGCCGAGGCGGGCGGATCGTGAGGTCAGGAGTTTGAGACTGGCCTGGCCAACACGGTGAAACCCCGTCTCTACTAAAAATACAAACATTAGTGGGGTGTGGTGGTGGGTGTCTGTAGTCCCAGTTACTCAGGAGGCTGAGGCAGGAGAATCGCTTGAATCCAGAATGCAGAGGTTGCAGTGAGCGGAGATCGTGCCACAGCACTACAGTCTGGGCCACAGAGCAAGACTCGGTCTCAAAAATAAATACATAAATAAATTATTCAGGAGCCACAGCTGATATTAACAGGCCAGATGGACAGTTTAGCAGGGGAGGTTAACACCGTTATGTCCAGCATACTCACTGCACAGAGAAAGATACTGAGGGTCAGAGTGGCAGGGCGACTTGGAAAACATCCCAGAAAAGTGCTCACTCTAAAAGCATTTCAGAGGAAGAAATGTTCTCCTGAGACATTCACAGAGATGTATTCTTAACCCGCTCAGAAGAAAGAGGAAAAAGATATGAAGGTCAGTAGAAAAGGCTCAGCATCCATATGCCAGCTGCTGCGGCATGATGCTTGAGGGGAACAGCAGACTCGGCCCCAGAACTGCGAGGTCTGCGTCTCTGGTTCAAGTTCAGCCCCATCCTGTCAACGCCTGGGTCACACTGGCACTAAGAGTCCTGTAAAATCAAACTGGAGGGTTACCCTAGGGGTCCTGAATCGCGGAGTGTAGGTGACGTGGGTGGTGAGTAGAGAGCGTGGGTGATGTGGGTGGTGAGTGGCGAGCGGGGGTGACGTGGGTGGTGAGTGGGGAGCAGGGATGACGTGGGTGGTGAGTGGGGAGCGTGGGTGATGTGCGTGGTGAGTGGAGAGCGTGGGTGACGTGGCTGGTGGGTGGGGAGCGTGGGTGACATGGGTGGTAAGTGGGGAGTGGGGGTGACGTGGGTGGTGAGTGGAGAGCATGGGTGACGTGGCTGGTGATTGGGGAATGTAGGTTTTGTGGGGTGGTGAGTGAGGAGTGTGGGTGACGTGGGTGGTGGGTGGGGAGCGTGGGTGACGTGCGTGGTGAGTGGGGAGTGTAGGCTTTGTGGGGTGGTGAGTGGGGAGTGGAGGTGACATGGGTGGTGAGTGGGGCACGGAGGTGACATGGGTGGTGAGTGGGGAACGGGGGTGACGAGGGTTGTGAGTGGGGAGCGGGGGTGATGCGGCTGGTGAGTGGGGAGCGGGGGCGACATGGGTGGTGAGTGGGGAGTGGGGGCAACGTGGGTAGTGAGTGGGGAGTGGAGGTGACATGGGAGGTGAGTGGGGAGCGGAGGTGACGTGGGTGGTGAGTGGGGAGTGGAGGTGACGTGGATGGTGAGTGGGGAGCGGAGGTGACGTGAGAGGTGAGTGGGGAGCGGAGGTGACGTGGGTGGTGAGTGGGGAGTGGAGGTGACGTGGATGGTGAGTGGGGAGTGGAGGTGACATGGGGTGGTGGGCAGGGGCTGTGGAGTTATGCCAGCTGCGCTGAGTAGGGGATTTGGGGCTGAACTGTGGGTTGTTTTTAGGGGGATAGAGGGTTATGCTGGGGGTCGTGAGAACGGTCTGTGCTTTCACTTACCACTGTGTTCTCAGCATCAGGCTGGGAGTTCTAGAAAGGAACGACACAGAAAACAAGGCTCAGTGCTCCAGTGTCTAACCCACTTCAGACGGTGCACACAGGCTCTCCCTTTGTGTGGGCACCGAAAGGGTGAGTGTCCTGAGTACCTGCAGGCAGCTCTCCCTCCACAAACCCCAAATCTACAGGATACGGAGGTGAGGAGCTGCAGACACAGAATCCCCACTGGCCAGGGGCCTTCCTGCAACCACAGCTGCTGACCCACCCACGCAGGACCCAATGGCCTCGGGACAGGGTCTCCTCCTGTCTACACTGGGTCCAGGTGGAGGTGGGGCAGGGTCTCCTGTCTACACTGGGTGCAGGTGGAGGTGTGGCAGGGTCTCCTGTGTACACTGGGTGCAGGTGGAGGTGGGGCAGGGTCTCCTGTCTACACTCGTGCAGGTGGAGGTGGGGCAGGGTCCCCTCCTGTGTACACTGGGTGTAGGTGGAGGTGGGGCAGGGTCCCCTCCTGTGTACACTGGGTGTAGGTGGAGGTGGGGCAGGGTCCCCTCCTGTGTATGCTGGGTGTAGGTAGAGGTGGGGCAGGGTCCCCTCCTGTCTACACTGGGTGCAGGTGGAGGTGGGGCAGGGTCCCCTCCTGTCTACACTGGGTCCAGATGGAGGTGTGGCAGGGTCCCCTCCTGTCTACACTGAGTGCAGGTGGAGGTGGGGCAGGGTCTCCTGTCTACACTGGGCCCCCAGGTGCTTGCACCCACCTCTCTGCACACGTGCAGCTGGTACCGAAACTCCAGGTAGTGCAGGCGCTGGTGTGTCCTGGGCTGTTTCCAGCGCAGCAGACACTGCGTCTTGTTACAGGTCACGGTGATGTTGCTGGGCGGGTCGAAACGTTCTGTAACGAGGGTGCCAGACTCACCCCTGAACCCGGGGCCCACACGCCCGCTCTCTCCCTCGCAGACGAAGTGGCTCACGCCTGTCATCCCAGCACTTTGGGAGGCGGAGGCGGGTGGATCACCTGAGGTCAGGAGTTCGAGGCCAGCCCGGCCGACACAGTGAAACCCCGTCTCTACTGAAAATATAAAACATTAGCTACCTGGGAGGCTGAGGAAGGAGAATTGCTTGAACTGCAGAGGTCAGTCATTCATGGACAGCCACGGAAGGGGAGACTGTGGGAGCCGGGCAGGAGGGCCAGGCAGGTGCCAGGCACAGCAGAGACGCCCACGGGGCGGGGCCCTGGGTGGGAGCTGGGGATGGGCTGGGTGAGCGTCCGGGGCCTCAAGAGGCCGGGGGCGTCCAGGGGATGAAAGAGGCTGTGGGTGGGCTGCGCCGGGCTTGGGAAGAGGACAGGGTGTGGATTTGGGGGTCGCCTCCAACACGCCAGCCTGGAGAAGGTGCTGCTGAGGAAGGAAGGAAGTGGGAGAGGGAGGGAGGAGGAATGGAGTGGAGAAGGGAGGGGAGGAAGGAATGAGGGGAGACGGGGAGAGATGGGGCGCACAGTGGCGTCATCTTGTCTCACTGCAGCCTCCACCTCTAAGATTGAACGGATTCTTCTGCCTCAGCCTCTCAAATAGCTGGGATTACAGGCAGCTGCCACCACGCCCGGCTAATTTTGTGTATTTATTAGAGACCCGGTTTCTCCATGTTGGCCAGGCTGGTCTCGAACTCCCGACCTCAGGTGATCTGCCCGCCTCGGCCTCCCAAAGTGCTGGAATCACAGGCGTGAGCCTCCGCGCCCGGCCAGTTATACAGATTTTAAGGCAAATTCCTTCTCACCTATAAACAACAGGAAATCGTATGATTTATTTCTTCCTCTCTCCCTTTTTTTTTTTTGTCAGCATTTTTGCAAGCGAGTTATTCTCACCGATTTTGTTTGTGTCCAAAAGCGAATCGAAGAACTGGATCCCGGCTTCTCCGCTGGTTCCGGTCACCAGGAAGTAATTGCGGGAGGTTAACCCCGTCAGGTTCCTCAGGTGACACCCCACGTGGGTTCCCGCGTCCTGCGTGTAATAAGGACACCGAATGTCCCTCCTTCCCCTGAAGGATTACAAAGTGTTCACAGACCAGCGGGGAAAATCACACAGAACAAAAACACAAATCCACAAGGCAACACCACGAAACCACAAAACATGAACAGAAAACCAGCACTTTCAGAAGCCGAGGCGGTTGAACCACAAGGTCAGGAGTTCGAGACCAGCCTGGCCCACATGGCGAAACTCCCGTCTCTAATAAAAATACAAAAATTAACCTGGGCGCAGTGGCTCATGCCTGTAATCCCAGCGCTTTGAGAGGTGAGGTGGATGGATCACTTCAGGTCAGGAGTTCAAGACCAGCTGGCCAACATGGCGAAACCTCATATCTAATAAAAATACAAAATAATTAGCTGGGCATGGTGGTGTGTGCCTTTAATCCCAGCTACTCGGGAGGCTGAGGCAGGAGAATTGCTTGAACCCGGGAGGCGGAGGTTGCAGTGAGCCGAGGTCGCGCCATTGCACTCCAGCCTGGTGCCCGGTTACGGAGTGAGACTCTGTCTCAAAAAAAAAAAAAAAATTAACCTGGGCGCGGTGGCTCATGCTTGTAATCCCAGCGCTTTCAGAGGTGAGGTGGGCGGATCACTCGAGGTCAGGAGTTCGAGACCAGCCTGGCTGAGATGGTGAAACCCCGTCTCTACTTAAAATATAAAATTAGCCGGGTGTGGTGGCGGGCGCCTGTAATCCCAGCTACTCAGGAGCCTGAGGCAGGAGAATCGCTTGAACCCGGGAGGCGGAGGTTGCAGTGAGCCGGGATCGCCCCATTGCACTCCAGCCTGGGCGACAGAACAAGACTCTGCCTCAAAGAAAGAAAAAGAGAAAAAATGAACAGCATTATTTTCCCCCATCCCTGCCTTCCTCATAATTCTTCACATGAGGTGAACACTTACTTTGAGTCTTGTATGGACAAAAAATACTGGACATCACGGGGGGCGGTCGGACCCCTCGCCCAGCTGCAGTTCATGAAATCCGCATTGTATATGAAGCAGGAGAAATTGCGGGCAGCAGTCCCCTCCCTACCTGGGGAGAGGCAGAACAAGACAATTTTCACTCAAAAGGTAAACGGGGCCGGGAGCGACGGCTCATGCCTCCCAGCACTTTGACAGGTCAAGGTGGTCGAATCACCTGAGGTCAGGAGTGCGAGACCAGCCTGGCCAACATGGTGAAACGCCGTCTCTACTAAAAATACAAAAAATTGGCCAGGCGCAGTGGCTCACACTTGAAATCCCAGCACTTTGGGAGGCTCAGACGGACACATCACCTTAGGTCAGGAATTCAAGACCAGCCTGGCCAACGTGGTGAAACGCCGTCTCTACTAAAAATACAAAAAATTGGCCAGGCGCAGTGGCTCACACCTGAAATTCCAGCACTTGGGGAGGCCGAGATGGACACATCACCTGAGGTCAGGGGTTCGAGATCAGCCTGGCCAACATGGTGAAACCCCGTCTCTACTAAAAACACAAACAATTGGCCTGGCGTGGTGGCGAATGCTTGTAATCTTAGCTACTAGGGAGGCTGAGGCAGGAGAGTCGCTTGAACCCAGGAGGTGGAGGTTGCAGTGAGTGGAGATTGTGCCACTGAACTCCAGCCTGGGAAACGAGAATGAAACTGTGTCTCAAAAAAATAAATAAATAAAAATGCAAAAACTTAGCTGCGGTGGCACATGCCTTTAATCCCAGCACTTTTGGACGCTGAGGCGGGTGGACCACGAGGTCAAGACATTGAGACCATCCTGGTCAACATGGTGAAACCCCGACTCTACTAAAAATACAAAAATTAGCTGGGCACGGTGGTGCATGCCTGTAATCCCAGCTACTCGGGAGACTGAGGCAGGAGAATTGCTTGAACCCAGGAGGCAGAGGTTGCATTGAGCCGAGATGGCACCACCACACTCCAGCCTGGGGGACAGAGCCAGACTCCAGCTCTTAAATGGGATGTAGTTTGACGGTCTTGGGTGCGGCTTGGAATGGCGGGGAGTGCTGTGGAGAGATTCCAGCCTTGTCTTCCTTACCGGAGTTTGGATAAGGCATTTTTTCTTGAATTACTCCTTGGCTGGTCTGCACGTGAACCTCAAACGTGACTCCTCCATGTAGAGTGACCTCCCGAAAGGTACACGAACATTCTTTCTTCCTGAGCTGAGAAGTTGCAGCGCGTCAGAGCAGATTAGGAAATGAATTTGTCTCCTCTGCTCACATAGAAACTCGGAGACACCCACCTGCCTCCCTTCATGAGTCCTATGCCTCCTCCTAGGACTCTGAGTGGATTCCCCAAATACCAGCCGGCAGGTGGAAAAAGAATATCATAATCGAGCATTGCTTAGAATATCAGAGTAAGGCAGGGTGGGGTGATTTATGCCTGTCATCCCAGAACTTCGGGAGGCCGGGGCGGGAGGATCACCAGAGATCAGGAGTTCAAGACCAGCCTGGCCAACAAGGTGAATCCCCGTCTCTACTATAAATACAAAAATCAGCCGGGCGTGGTGGCAGGTGCCTGTAGTCCCAACTACTTGAGAGGCTGAGGCAGGAGAATCTCTTGAACCCGAGAGGCGGAGGTTGCAGTGAGCTGAGATCACACCATTGCAGTCCAGCCTGGGCGACAGAGTGAGACTCCATCTCAAAAAAAAAAAAAAAAAAATCCTCCACAGACCCAGGCTCCCATCTAATCGCACTTGCCGGGATTTCTCATCTCTTTGGGTGAAATACACTCTCCCCCAGGGAATCAGGCTGTCAGACCAGACACATCGCAGACACAAGGCAGGAGAATTTTGCTCTTGTCACCCAGGCTGGAGTGCACTGGCACGATCTCGGCTCTCTGCCACCTCCGCCTCCCGGGCTCAAGCCAGTGTCCTGCCTCAGCCTGCTGAGTAGCTGGGATTACAGGCACCTGCCAGCACGCCAGCTAATTTTTGTGTTTTTATTAGAGAGGGTTTTGCCATGTTGGCCAGGCTGGTCTCAAAGTCCTGACCTTGTGATCCACCCCCCTCGGCCTCCCAAAGTGTTGGATTGAAAGCATTAGCCACTGTGCTCTGCCTAATTTTTTTTCTTTTTTCTTTCTTTTCTTTTTTTTAAAAATTTTTATGTTTTGAGATGAAGTCTCGCTCTGTTGCCCAGGCTGGAGTTCAGTGAGTCGATCTCGGCTCCTGGTTCAAGCGATTCTGCTGCCTCAGACTCCCGAGTAGCTAGGATGACAGGTGCATGCCACCAAAACCAGCTAATCTTTTGTATTTTTAATAGAGACAGGGTTTCAGCGTGTTGGCCAGGCTGACCCTGAACTCCTGACCTCAGGTGACACCCCTGCCTCAGCCTCCCAAAGTGCTGGGATTACAGCCGTGAGTCGCTGTGTCCATCCAGCTGGCCCCGTTGCTTTTAAGTCAGCGACTGCTGTGTCCGTCTCACCCTGTATTCGATGGGTCCTTCCTTCTTGTGTATTAAGATGCACCTGCTGAGGGTGGTGTTTTCCTTACAGCTCCAGCTTAATCTCATTGTCCTGGAGTCAAACGTGATGTTGAGGCTGGAGGCTGGGGCCACAGTTGTTCGACCTGGAAGAAAGGGCGGGCGGATTCAGAATTCCCTCTTTTCCTGTTTTTTCTTTTATTATTATTATTTTTAATGAGACAGAGTTTCATTCTTGTCGTCCAGGCTGGAGTGCAGTGGCGTGATCTCGGCTCACTGCAGCCTCCGCCTCCCAGGTTCAAGCGATTCTCCTGACTCAGCCTCTCGAGTAGCTGACATTACAGGCAACCCCCACCCACCTCACCCGGCTATTTTTGGTTTTAGTAGAGACGGGTTTTCTCCATGTTGGTCAGGCTGGTCTCGAACTCCAGACCTCAGGTGATCCGCCCACATTGGCCTCCCAAAGTGCTGGGATAACAGCCGTGAGCCACCACACCCGGCCTAATTATTATATTTTTTAGTAGAGACGGGGTTTCTCCATGTTGGCCAGGCTGGTCTCGAACTCCCGACCTCAGATGATCCGCCCACATTGGCCTCCCAAAGTGCTGGGATGACAGGCATGAGCCACCGCGCCTGGCCTAATTATTATATTTTTTAGTAGAGACGGGGTTTCTCCATGTTGGTCAGGCTGGTCTCGAACTCCAGACCTCAGGTGATCCGCCCACATTGGCCTCCCAAAGTGCTGGGATGACAGGCATGAGCCACCGCGCCTGGCCTAATTATTATATTTTTTAGTAGAGACGGGGTTTCTCCATGTTGGTCAGGCTGGTCTCGAACTCCCGACCTCAGGTGATCCGCCCACATTGGCCTCCCAAAGTGCTGGGATGACAGGCATGAGCCACCGCGCCTGGCCTAATTATTATATTTTTTAGTAGAGACGGGGTTTCTCCATGTTGGTCAGGCTGGTCTCGAACTCCCGACCTCAGGTGATCCGCCCACATTGGCCTCCCAAAGTGCTGGGATGACAGGCATGAGCCACCGCGCCTGGCCTAATTATTATATTTTTTAGTAGAGACGGGGTTTCCCCATGTTGGTCAGGCTGGTCTCGAACTCCCGACCTCAGGTGATCCGCCCACATTGGCCTCCCAAAGTGCTGGGATGACAGGCATGAGCCACCGCGCCTGGCCTAATTATTATATTTTTTAGTAGAGACGGGGTTTCTCCATGTTGGCCAGGCTGGTCTCGAACTCCAGACCTCAGGTGATCCGCCCACATTGGCCTCCCAAAGTGCTGGGATGACAGGCATGAGCCACCGCGCCTGGCCTAATTATTATATTTTTTAGTAGAGACGGGGTTTCTCCATGTTGGCCAGGCTGGTCTCGAACTCCCGACCTCAGGTGATCCGCCCACATTGGCCTCCCAAAGTGCTGGGATGACAGGCATGAGCCACCGCGCCTGGCCTAATTATTATATTTTTTAGTAGAGACGGGGTTTCTCCATGTTGGTCAGGCTGGTCTCGAACTCCCGACCTCAGGTGATCCGCCCACATTGGCCTCCCAAAGTGCTGGGATGACAGGCATGAGCCACCGCGCCTGGCCTAATTATTATATTTTTTAGTAGAGACGGGGTTTCTCCATGTTGGTCAGGCTGGTCTCGAACTCCAGACCTCAGGTGATCCGCCCACATTGGCCTCCCAAAGTGCTGGGATGACAGGCATGAGCCACCGCGCCTGGCCTAATTATTATATTTTTTAGTAGAGACGGGGTTTCTCCATGTTGGCCAGGCTGGTCTCGAACTCCAGACCTCAGGTGATCCGCCCACATTGGCCTTCCAAAGTGCTGGGATGACAGGCATGAGCCACCGTGCCTGGCCTAATTATTATATTTTTTAGTAGAGACGGGGTTTCTCCATGTTGGCCAGACTGGTCTCGAACTCCAGACCTCAGGTGATCCGCCCACATTGGCCTCCCAAAGTGCTGGGATGACAGGCATGAGCCACCGCGCCTGGCCTAATTATTATATTTTTTAGTAGAGACGGGGTTTCTCCATGTTGGTCAGGCTGGTCTCGAACTCCAGACCTCAGGTGATCCGCCCACATTGGCCTCCCAAAGTGCTGGGATGACAGGCATGAGCCACCGCGCCCGGTCTTGCCTGTTTTTGCTCTTCCCACCCTGCTCTGCGGGGTGAAGTTCAGGGCTGGACACTGTTCACTTTCCTGTCCCTGACGTGGCCCCAGGACGTCCCACGTCCTCAGGAATCTCCTCCCTTGTCCATCTTCCCTACGTTCTCACCACCCTGGCTGTTTCTGCAAAGGAGATGTCTTCCGCAGAACTATTCAAAAACCACCTGAAGGCCAGTCTCGGTGCCTGACGCCTCTAATCCTAGCCCTTTGGGAGTTTGAGGCAGCAGATTATGAGGTCAGGACTTCAAGACCAGCCTGTCTCTACTAAAAACTGAAAAATTAGCCAGTCGTGCTGACGGACACCTGTTATCCCACCTACTTAGGAGGCTGAGGCAGGAGGATCGCTTGAACCCGGAGGCGGAGGTTGCAGTGAGTCAAGACCTTGCCACTCTACTCCAGCCTGGGAGACAGAGCAAGACTCTGTCTCAAAAGAAACAAACAAAAAAGCACATGAACAGTGAGGGCGGTGGCTCATGCCTCTAATCCCAGCATTTTGAGGGGCTGAGGCAAAAAGGTGAGTTAAACCCAGCAGGTGGAGAACAGCCTGGGCAATGTAGCAAGATCCCATCTCTAAAAAAAAAAAATTCTTTAAATTAGGCAGGCATTGTGATACCCCTCTATACTCCCAGCTTGCTCTTTCTCCACATGGAGAAGTTTACTGCAAAATTAATCAAAAATCAGCTGAGCACAGTGGCTCACACCTGTGATTCCAGCACTTTGGGAGGCCGAGGCGGGTGGATCACGAGGTCAAGAGATCGAGACCATCCTGGTCAACATGGTGAAACCCCGTCTCTACTAAAAATACAAAAATTAGCTGGGCATGGTGGCGCGTGCCTGTAATCCCATCTACTAAGGAGGCTGAGGCAGGAGAATTGCCTGAACCCAGGAGGCGGAGGTTGCGGTGAGCCGAGATCGCCCCATTGCACTCCAGCCTGGATAACAAGAGCGAAACTCCGTCTCAAAAAAATATATATATATATATGAAAAATGAGCCAGGCATAGTGGCTAGTACCTGTAATCCCAGCTACTCGGGAGGCTGTGGAGGGGAACTCCTTGAACCCAGGAGGCGGAGGCTCCAGTGAGCCCAGATTGTGCCACTGCACTCCAACCTGGGAGACAGAGCAAGACTCCGTCTAAAAATAAAAATAAAAATGAAAAACCATCTGAAGGCTGAGTGCGGTGGCTGATGCCTGTAATCCCAGCAATTGGGAGGCTGAGACAAAAGCATGACTTGAGTACAGCAGGTTGAGACCAGTCTTGGCAACCCAGCAAGACTCCATCTCTACAAAACAAAAATAAAAATACATTCAAAATTAGCTTAGCATGGTGGGGCACGTGTGTCGCCCCACCTACGTGGCCAGCCGAAGTGGGAGGGTCACTTAATCCCAGAAAGTCGTGGCTGCAGTGAGCTGAGATCACGCCACTGCACTCCAGCCTGCGTGACACAGTGACACCCAGTCTCAAACAAAAAAAAAAAAAAAAGAAGGAAAAAGAAAACCATTTGAATGAGAACAGGAAAACACGCTTTATCTGCAGTGATGAGGCTCAGAACACGCGTCCCAACCTGGCTATAATCCCAGCACTTTGGGAAGGGAGTGAGGGAAGAAGGGAGGAAGGAAGGAAGAAACACTTTGGCACCGTGCAGAGCTGAGTCCCCCACAACCACCTGGATGGTCGCTGGGTTAAACCCTGCAGGAGCTGAGTCCTGATCCTGGCCCCACAACCACCTGGATGGTCGCTGGGTTAAACCCTGGAGGAGCTGAGTCCTGATCCCGCCCCACAACCACCTGGATGGTCGCTGGGTTAAACCCTGGAGGAGCTGAGTCCTGATCCTGGCCCCACAACCACCTGGATGGTCGCTGGGTTAAACCCTGGAGGAGCTGAGTCCTGATCCTGGCCCCACAACCACCTGGATGGTCGCTGGGTTAAACCGTGGAGGAGCTGAGTCCCGATCCTGGCCCCACAACCACCTGGATGGTCGCTGGGTTAAACCCTGGAGGAGCTGAGTCCCGATCCTGGCCCCACAACCACCTGGATGGTCGCTGGGTTAAACCGTGGAGGAGCTGACTCCTGATCCTGGCCCCACAACCACCTGGATGGTCGCTGGGTTAAACTCTGGAGGAGCTGAGTCCTGATCCTGGCCCCACAACCACCTGGATGGTCGCTGGGTTAAAACCTGGAGGAGCTGAGTCCTGATCCTGGCCCCACAACCACCTGGATGGTCGCTGGGTTAAACCCTGGAGGAGCTGAGCCCTGATCCTGCCCCACAACCACCTGGATGGTCGCTGGGTTAAACCCTGGAGGAGCTGAGTCCCGGTCCTGCCCCACAACTACCTGGATGGTCGCTGGGTTATACTGTGGAGGAGCTGAGTCCCGGTCCTGCCCCACAACTACCTGGATGGTCGCTGGGTTATACTGTGGAGGAGCTGAGTCCTGATCCTGGCCCACAACTACCTGGATGGTCGCTGGGTTAAACCCTGGAGGAGCTGAGTCCCGGTCCTGCCCCACAACCACCTGGATGGTCGCTGGGTTAAACCCTGGAGGAGCTGAGTCCCGGTCCTGCCCCACAACTACCTGGATGGTCGCTGGGTTATACTGTGGAGGAGCTGAGTCCCGGTCCTGCCCCACAACTACCTGGATGGTCGCTGGGTTATACTGTGGAGGAGCTGAGTCCTGATCCTGGCCCACAACTACCTGGATGGTCACTGGGTTAAACCCTGGAGGAGCTGAGCCCTGATCCTGCCCCACAACCACCTGGATGGTCGCTGGGTTAAACCCTGGAGGAGCTGAGTCCCGGTCCTGCCCCACAACCACCTGGATGGTCGCTGGGTTAAACCCTGGAGGCCTCTGAGCCTTTGTTTTCTCCTCTGTAGAATGGGTGGATGGGCATGAAATAGGAAAGCAGGTGAGGCCAGTTAAGCTCTTATCATCTGCCTACGGGGTCCCTAATCAACATTACAGATGGAAGGCAAATATGCACGGAGGTATCCAGATAGGTCTCCAGACACGAGACATCTAAGCCGGAGCCATAGAGAAGGTGCAGCCAGGCTTTTATACGTACCCGAGTTCCCTGCGGTCAGGAGGACTGCAGCCTGCAGCAACCCAGACAGGAGAAGGGTTGTCACCAGGGGAAACTTCATGCTGACCAGAGAGAAGAGCTGCAGAGGGGCTGCAGGACAGAAAGTGTCACACAGTGAGGAGCAGGATTAGCCAGGGCACTCCTGGCATGGGGCCCCAGGGAACGTCCCAAGGAGGCCCATGTCCTAATCCCATGTGGGAGATAGAATAATGGCCCCAGAGATGTCCACGTCCTGATCCCCATGTGGGAGACACAATAATGATCCCAAAGATGTCCATGTCCTGATCCCCATGTGGGAGACAGAATAATGGCCCCAGAGATGTCCACATCCTGATCCCCATGTGGGAGACAGAATAATGGCCCCAAAGATGTCCATGTCCTGATCCCCATGTGGGAGACCGAATAATGGCCCCAAAGATATCCACATCCTAATTCCCATGTGGGAGACAGAATAATGGCCCCAAAGATGTCCACGTCCTCATCCCCATGTGGGAGACAGAATAATGGCCCCAAAGATGTCCACATCCTAATTCCCATGTGGGAGACAGAATAATGGCCCCAAGGAGGAGGAGGAGGAGGAGGAGGAGAAGGGGAGGAGGAGGAAAACCTACAGTGGATGTTCCTACAAATGGTGAATTCAAGTAATTACACTTTTTTCTCTTTCTGAGTTGAAGTCTCGCTCTGTCACCCAGGCTGGAGTGCGGTGGCGCGATCTCGGCTCACTGCAACCTCCGCCTCCCGGGTTCAAGTGATTCTCCTGCCTCAGCCTCCCAAGTAGCTGGGATTACAGGTGCCCACCACCACGCCTGGCTAATGTTTTGTATTTTTAGTAGAGACAGGGTTTCTCCATGTTGGTCAGGCTGGTCTTGAACTCCCGACCTCAGGTGATCCGCCCGCCTCAGCCTCCCAAAGTGCTGGGAGCACCCGGCTCATGTCATTATAGTTTTGTTCAAACCCATGGAATACACAATGAGAATTCTCATGTAAAGTGTGTGACCAACTACTCACTTTAGTTAGTAACAATGCGTCAATATCAGTAATACCATATCAATATCGGCTCATATCAACCTGGCTGAACCGTCTCTGTGGCTTCTGCTTACATGTGGGTAAGAGAAAAGAGTACATAGGAACCCTTCGTAATTTCTGCACCTGGTGGAAACCAGCTGGCCCACCTGACGTTCCTGCTGCAGACTTTCTCTCTCGAAGATTGCGTATTGCTGGGCGCGGTGGCTCACGCCTGTGATCCCAGCCCTTTAGGAGGCCAAGGCACGTGAATCCTGAGGTCAGGAGTTCGAGACCAGCCTGGCCAACGTGGTGAAACCCCGTCTGTACTAAAAATACAAAAATCAGCCAGGCGTGATGGTGGTCACCTGTAATCCCAGCTACTCAGGAGACTGAGGCAGGAGAATCGCTTGAACCTGGGAGGCAGAGGTTGCAGTGAGCCAAGATTATGCCACTGCACTGCAGCCTGGGTGACAGAGCAAGACTAAGTTGTGTTGGCTCAAACCTGTAATGCTAGCACTTTGGGAGGCTGAGAGGCAGGCGGATCACCTGAGGTTAGGAGTTTGAGACCAGCCTGGGCAACAAGGTGAAACCCCATCCCTACTAAAAATTAAAAAAAAAAAAAAGCCAGGCGTGGTAGAGGGTGCTTGTAATCCCAGCTACTCCAGAGGGTGAGGCAGGAGAATCTCTCTCTCTTTTTTTTTTAATTGCATTTTAGATTTTGGGGTACATGTGAAGAACATGCAACATAGTTGCATAGGTACACACATGGCAGTGTGATTTGCTGCCTTCCTCCCTTCACTTATATCTGGCATTTCTCCCCATGCTATCTCTCCCCAACTCCCCACCCACCGCTGTCCCTCCCCTATTCCCCCCAACAGACCCTAGTGTGTGATGCTCCCCTCCCTGTGTCCATGTGTTCTCATTGTTCAACGCCCGCCTACGAGTGACAACATGCGGTGTTTGGTTTTCTGTTCTTGTGTCAGTTTGCTGAGAATGATGGTCTCCAGGTTCATCCATGTCCCTGCAAAGGATGTGAACTCATCCTTTTTGATGGCTGCATAGTGTTCCATGGTGTCTACCAGACACATTTCCTTCATCTAGTCTATCATTGATGGGCATTTGGGTTGGTTCCAGCTCTTTGCTATTGTGAACAGGGCTGCAATGCACATACGTGTGTGTGTGGTGCACACGTGGCAGTGTGATTTGCTGCCTTCCTCTCCTTCACCTGTATCTGGCACTTCTCCCCATGCTATCTCTCCCCAACTCCCCACCCCGCACTGTCCCTCTATTTGCCCCTGACAGACCCCAGTGTGTAACGCTCCCCTCCCTGTGTCCATGTGTTCTCATTGTTCAACACCCGCCTATGAGTGAGAACCAGCAGGCAGAGGTTGCAGTGAGCTGAGGTGGCACCTCGGCACTCCATGCTGGGTGACAGAGAGAGACTCCATCTTAAAAAAAAAAAAAAAAAAACGAAATAAGATTGTCTAAGAGGAACCTCGCTGGCTGCTAACGGGAAGTAAAAACGGACAGACCACACCTGCGTTCCTCTTCCCCTCCGCCCACTGCTCATGGCGACCGCCTGACGTGGACGTGTGGCCGGCTTCCTCCTCTGAACGGCTGCACGCAGCTTCCCGGTACCTGCCTCTGGCTCTTGCAACTGTTTTTCAGCGCTGGGCAGGCTCTCCTGAGGCACCCCAGACACCCACATTCTGAGCCGGGCACACTGGCTCACGCCTCTAATCCCAGCTCTTTGGGAAGCCAAGGCGGGCAGATCACGAGGTCAGGAGTTCAAGACCGTCCTGGCCAACATGGTGAAACCCAGTCTCTACTAAAATACAAAATTAACTGGGCGTGCTGGTGGGCCTGTGTAATCCTGGCTTTTTTGAAGGATGACGCGGGCGGATCACCGGAGGTCGGGAGTTTGAGACCAGCCTGAGCAACATGGAGAAAAACCCGCCTCTACTAAAAATACGAAATTAGCCGGGCATGGTGGCAAATGCCTGTAGTCCCAGCTACTCGGGAGGCTGAGGCAGGAGAATCGCTTGAACCTGGGAGGCAGAGTTTGCAGTGAGCCGAGATTGCGCCACTGCACTCCAGCCTGGCGACAGAGTGAGACTTTGTCTCAAAAAATAGATAAACAATAACTAAATATAATTAGTAAAAAAAAAAAAAAAAAGAATGATATAAAATCAAGCTGGACTTCAGGCATCTTGGACACCGGTTCTCAGCACCTCATTAGAGAGTGTTCTCCTGGGCCTTGGTCACTCATATTTGGCTAAGAATAAACCTCTTTAAATATTTATTTTATTTTGTTTTTGAGATGGAATTTCACTCTTGCTGGCCAGGCTGGAGTGCAGTGGCACAATCACGGCTCAGTGCAACCTCCGGCTCTGGGGTTCAAGCAATTCTCCGGCCTCAGCCTCCCGAGTAGCTGGGATTAGAGCCTGCACCACCACGCCCGGCTAATTTTGTATCTTTAGTGGAGACAGGGTTTCACTGTGTTGGTCAGGCTGGTCTCGAACTCCCGACCTCAGGTGATCCAGCTTCCTTGGCCTACAAAAGAGCTGGGATTACACAGGTGCGCCAGCACACCCAGCTAATTTTGTATTTTTACTGGAGACGGGGTTTCACCATGTTGGTCAGGCTAGTCTCGAACTCCTGACCTCAGGTGAACCACCTGCCTCGGCCTCCCAAAGTGCTGGAATTACAGGCATGAGCCACCTCCTCCGGCCAGCGCTGGGCTCTTTATACCCAGCTTCAAGCCTCTCCTGTGCCTGGATACCCTTGTCAGGCTGCCTCGGGGGGATGCGTGCCATCTCAGAGGGAACCTGATGTGCTAAATCTGTCATAGGGCAGACAACCCTGCATTCAGAGTCCTCTGCCCTGAACTCCCACTTCCATCTTTCCTGTTCATCATGAGGGAGCAAAACATTTCAGTTCTTTATTTTTATTTTTTTTAAATTTCTTCTTTTTAAAGACAGGGTTTCACCATATTGGTCAGGCTGGTCTCGAACTCCTGACCTCGGGTGATCCACCCACCTCCGCCTCCCAAAGTGCCGAGATTACAGGCGTGAGCCACCGTGCCCAGCACATTTCAGTTCTTTAGACTTAAGAACAATAAATCCCCCATTTAGGCCGGGCGCGGTGGCTCATGCCTGTATCCCAGCACTTTGGGAGGCCGAGGCAGCTGGATCACGAGGTCAAGAGATCGAGACCATCCTGGTCAACATGGTGAAACCCCGCCTCTACTAAAAATACAAAAAATTAGCTGGGTACGGTGGCGCATGCCTGTAATCCCAGCTACTCGGGAGGCTGAGGCAGGAGAATTGCCTGAACCCAGGAGGCGGAGGTTGCGGTGAGCAGAGATCGAGCCATCGCACTCCAGCCTGGGCAACAAGAGCGAAACTCCGTCTCAAAAAATAAATAAAAAAATAAATAAAAATATATAAATAAATCCCCCATCACAGACAGCCCAAAGGAGGCCACGTACCGCGTTCTAGGCAAGCATCTCCACCTGTCCACTCCACGTTCTGTCTTCACCGGTTTCCTGCCGTGAACTGAGAAAGTAAAATAAATCTCAGGACCCAAAATCACGAAGCCAAGGGCAAGGTCATGCTGGAAACGGTGTCAGGCAAACCTGCCTCTCATTTTATTCATAAACAAAAAAATACTACAAAGATTTAAAAAACTGCACCCCAGGGCTGGGCACGGTGGGTCACTTCCGTCATCACAGCATTCCGGGAGGCTGAGGTGGGCAGATCACCTGAGGCCAGGAGTTCGAGACCAGCCTGGCCAACATGCGGAAACCCTGTCTCTACTAAAAATACAAAAATTAGCTGGGCGTGGTGGTGCTCGCTTCTAATCCCAGCACTTTGGGAGGCCAAGGTGGGCAGATCACCTGAGGCCACGAGTTCGAAACCAGCCTGGCCAACATACAGAAACCCTGTCTCTACTAAAAATACAAAAAATTAGCTGGGCGGGGAGGCGCACGCCTGTAGTCCCAGCTACTTGGGAGGCTGAGGCAGGAGAATCGCTTGAACCCTGGAGGCGGAGGATGAGGTGAGCTGAGATCTCACCACTGCACTCCAGCCTGGGTGACAGAGCAACACTCTGTCTCCCTCCCAAAAATAATAGTAATAATAAATAAATAAATATAAAATATTTATAAATCTTTAAAATATTATAGATATTTAAATTTATATATTTATATATAAATGTATGTATTTATATATATTTATAAATACATAAATTTAGAGTATATGTATAAAGTTATATATATTTATATATTTATTAATATATTATATATTACAATATATAATACATTTATTAATATCATATATATTATATATTTATTTATATATATTTATACTTATAAATATATTTTTAAATATTTATATTTGTTAATATATATTATCTTTTTAAATATATATTTATATATTTATCTTTTAAAATATATATTTATATACTTATCTTTTAAAATATATATATTTATATATATCTTTTTAAATATATATTTATATTTATAAACATATATATTTATATATTTATATTTATACATATATATTTTTACATATTTGTATTTATAAACATATTTTTATATATTTATATTTATATTTATAAACATACATATTTACATTTATAAATATACAAGTATTTATGTATATTTATATTTATAAATATACAAGTATTTATGTATATATTTATAAATATACAAGTATTTATGTATATTTATATTTATAAATATATCAATTGCATTGGGCCTGGTGGTGGGCACCTGTAAACCCAGCTACTCGGGAGACTGAGGCAGGAGATACACTTGAACCCAGGAGGTGGAGGTTGCAGTGAGCCGACATCACACCACTGCACTGCAGCCTCGGCAACAGCGTGGGACTCTGTCTCAAATAAATAAATAAAATAAAATTAAATAAATACAAATACAAATACAAAAGTTAGCCGGGCGTGGTGGCTGAGGCAGGAGAATGGCTTGAACCTGGGAGGTGGAGGCTGCACTGAGCCGAGATTGCACCCCGGCACCCCAGCCTGGGCGACAGAACAAGACCCCATCTCAAATAATAATAATAAAATGTCTGAAGGAAAACTACCCCGTCTAGGGCACCTGTCATGGGTATTTCCTGAGGCTGTTCCACAGCCACACGCCCTTAACCTCGGCAAAATAAACTTTCCAAAGGCACTGAGACCTGTCTCAGATGGGTGTGCCTGGTGTGCAAAATGTTTTGTACCAACGGAAAATTATGCAACGTTTTTATGGTTTGTAGGCAGCACCTATATATTCTCTCTTCTTTTCATGTTTGCAGACTGCGTTTTCTTTCTCCTTTGCACTGATTTTGGCTGATTCGAAAATAGAAGCCTCTGAGCTTCCTCCTCTGATTTAAAGCAAGGATGGTGGAGAGTGAGGGAAATGAAAGTGTTTTGCCCCAAAACGCGGCTCCGCGCTATCAGGAGTATTTTAAATTAAAAACCCTTTGCTATTACCAAGCTCTGGAAAACATTTCCTCCGATGTCAGTAACAATAAAACTGACCTGCCCAGGAAAACAATTGTGTGGTTTTTTTTAATTATTATTTTTATTATTTAATTATTTTTTTCCCCCGGTCATCTGTTGCAGAAAAGAAGAGGAAGATTTTATTTTATTTTATTTTATTTTTCTGAGACAGAGTCTTGCTGTGTTTCCCAGACTGGAGTGCAATGGCTCGATCTCAGCTCACTGCAACCACCGCCTCCTGGGTTCAAGTGATTCTCCTGCCTCAGCCTCCTGAGTAGCTGGGACTACAGGCATCCATCACTGCATCCAGCTAATTTTTGTATTTTGTATTTTTAGTACAGATGGAGTTTCACTATGTTGGCCAGGCTGGTCTCGAACTCTTGACCTCAAGTGATCCACCGGCCTCAACCTCCCAAACTGCTGGGATTACAGGCGTGAGCCACCGTGCCCAGCCTACTGAGATATGACCACACCTGAACAGACCATTTCACAAGGAAAAAGCCTGTGTGGAACAATTGAGTGAATTAAGTTCTCCAAAGAGAACTACTTGCAAGTTATTATCTATTCCCAGATTCAAGTATTCTCTGTAGTGTGGACGAAAAGGGTCAGACTCTGTAAAATATTGGAGATTTATTCTGAGCCAAATATGGCTGAGCATGACCTGTGACGCAGGCCTCAGGAGGTCCGGAGAACATGTGATTGGGACGCAGCTTGGTTTTGTACATTTTAGGGAGGCATGGGACGTCAATCACATACATTTAAGACACACATTGGTGCTGGGCACGGTGGCTCACACCTGTAATCCCAGCACCTTTGGGAGGCTGAGGTGAGCAGATCACCTGACGTCGGGAGTTCCAGACCAGCCTGACCAACGTGGAAAAATCCTGTCTCTACTAAAAATACAAAAATTAGCCAGGCGTGGTGGCGGGAGCCTGTAATCCCAGCTACTCAGGAGCCTGAGATACGAGAATTGCTTGAACCCGGGAGGTGGGTGGATCACTTGAGGTCAAGAGTTAAGGAAAGGCTGGGTGTGGTGGCTCATGCCTGTATTCCAAGCACTTTGGAGGCCAAGGAGGGAAGATCACCTGAGGTTGGGAGTTCAAGACCAGCCTGACCAACATGGTGAAACCCCGTCTTAAAAAAAAGAGTTAAGAAAAAAACAAAATCAGAGGCTGGGTGTGGTGGCTCACCCCTGTAATCCCAGCACTTTGGGAGGCTGAGGCAGGTGGATCACGAGGTCAGGAGTTTGAGACCAGCCTGACCAACATAATGAAACCCGTCTCTACCAAAAATACAAAAATTAGCCAGGCGTGGTGGTGGGCACCTGTAATCCCAGCTCCTCAGGAGGCTGATGCAGGAGGATTGCCTGAACCTTGGAGGCGGAGGTCGCAGTGAGCCGAGATCATGCCAGTGCACTCCAGCCTAGGAGACAGAGTGAGATTCCATCTCAAACAGTAATTATAATAAATAATAAAAGAATACATTTTGGCTGGGCGCGGTGGCTCAAGCCTGTAATCCCAGCACTTTGGGAGGCCGAGGCGGGTGAATCACGAGGTCAAGAGATCGAGACCAGCCTGGTCAACATGGTGAAACCCTGTCTTATAAAAAATAAAAATAAAAATAAATAAAAGATAATATGTATTCTTGCAAAACATAGTGATGAGAAAGATTAATCCTTTAAAACAAATGCTTGAAGAGAAGCACATTTCCCCGTGATTCCTTTTTAATCATCTTTTTTTTTTTTTTGAGACGGAGCTTCTCTCTTGTTACTCAGGTCAACACAATCTCCACCTCCTGGGTTCAAGTGATTCTCCTGCCTCAGCCTACCGAGTAGCTGGGACTACAGGGGCCCACCACCACACCCAGATAATTTTTGTGGCTTTAGTAGAGGTGGGGTTTCAAGACCGGTTGGCCAGGCTGGTCTCAAACTCCTGACCTCGTGATCCTCCCCACCTCGGCCTCCCAAAGTGCTGGGATTACAGGCGTGAAGCACCACGGCTGGCCCCTTCACTTTCTTAATAATCTTGCCTCTCGAGTAGCTGAGGTCACAGGCACCTGGCAACAGGTCCAGCTAATTATCGTCCTGTTAGTAGAGACGGGGTTTCACCGTGTTGGCCAGGCTGGTCTCCAACTCCTGACCTCATGATCCTCCCCACCTCTGCCTGTCAAAGTGCTGGGTTTACAGGCGAGAGCGAGGGCGCCCGGCCTGCATTCACCCTTTGAAACTGCTTCCCGTTGCCACAAACACCTATGAATTCACCTAAGAATACCGCGCCGGACGCTCCACCCAACTCATTGGAGCTTAGCAATGTACAGCCAATGCTTCATCAGTTGTTTCTTTTTCTTTCAATCCAGGAGAATTCCTGGCAAACAGCTTCACAGAAGCCCAATCCCTGTCCCCCAACACCTCCCTCACCCCCACTTTTTTTTCTTAACCGGCTTATAAGGAAGGCAGAATACAGCTTATAGCCGAGTATCCCTGGGGCTGACTCTTCGGGGCAGCCGAGCTGACTTTTGCTCAAGTCCACGCAAGTTTCAAATCATATTTTGTGTTTCTGTGTCTTTGTTTTAGATCCAGGGACAGAAGCAGAAACACGGACCCTGGTGGCTCCACATGCCGAAACAGGAGAACATTAAAGAATGCATCTTACCCCAGGGCACCTGCTGCCCCCCTTGCTTTCCTTCTCTTCTCCGGGGGACTCCAGCCTGGGCACCTCCTTTCACGGCTCCTCTCTGTCCTAATGGCCTGCCCGCCTCCTGCCTCGGCTTCCTCATTTCATAGGATTGGGAAACTATAATTGTGAGTGAGGTCATCGGCTCTTGACCTCCGCTCCACAGAGCGGCTTTGTGGTCAGCTCAAGTGTGAATCTTACACACATCTGCAGACGCAGACACACGCCGGCAAATAGCTGCACACACATGTGGGCACACGCACTCCTGTGCACACACCTGCATACATCTGTACACACACCTGCACATATACTCCTGCACACACGTGTGTCCACAGACCCTTGCAAACACACCTGCACACACTCCTGTGCACACACCTGCATACCTCTGTACACACACTCCTGCACCCACTTGTGCACACAGACCCTTGCACACATACACCTGCACACACTCCTGCACACACATGTGCACACAGCTTCCTGAACACACACCTGTACACACTCCTGCACACACACACTCCTGCAGACACAGCTGTACACGCATCTGCACAAAACACCTGCATACACATGTGCACACACAACTGTACACAGACTTGCACAGTCTCCTGTACACACTCACTCTTGCACACACATGCATGTCTGCAAACACATCTGCACACATACCTGCACATACGGCCTCCTGCACACAAGCTGCACACACAAACACCTGCACACACATCTGCACACATCTGCACATGCCCGAACAACTATACATGAACATCTACACACAACCTGCACACAAATCTGTACACACCCCCTCCTGCACACACATGCATATCTGCACACACACCCTCCTGCTCACACGTGCACACACACTCCTGCACACACACCTGCGCACACATACATATCTGTACACACATGCTCCTGTACACGCATCTGCACACACAAACACGTGCACACAGCTCTGCACACAGACATACACACACACATCCATACACATCCCCAGACACCTGCAGACAGTTCACGTGTGCACACATACTACACATGGACATATACCTATACACTGCACACACATCTGTACACGTACAGTCCTGTACACACACCTGCACACAGGCTTGCACACACACAGAAATACAGATGCTTTTTGTGCTGTCTACAAAGCCCTAAGGAGAACCAAGCAGGCCGGGCTCAGTGGCTCACTAAAAAAAATAATCATACAAGGCTGGGTGCAGTGGCTCACGCCTGATATCCCAGCACTTTGGGAGGCCGAGGCGGGTGGATCACGAGGTCAAGAGATTGAGACCATCCCGATCAACATGGTGAAACCCCGTCTCTACTAAAAATACAAAAAATTAGCTGGGCATGGTGGCGCTTGCCTGTAATCCTAGATACTCAGGAGGCTGAGGCAGGAGAATTGCCTGAACCCAGGAGGCGGAGGTTGTGGTGAGCCGAGATCATGCCATTGCACTCCAGCCTGGGAAACAAGAGTGAAACTCCGTCTCAAAAAAGTAAAATAATAATAATCATACAAAATTAGCCGGGTGTAGTGGCAGGTGCCTGTCATCCCAGCCACTCTGGAGGCTGAGGCAGGAGAATCGCTTGAACCTGGGAGGCAGAGGTGGCAGCGGGCCAAGATCACGTCCGTGCACTCCAGCCTGGGCAAGAGCGAAACTCTCTCTTAAAAAAAGAGAAGCAGGCAGAGTAGAGATGTGTGACCACAGGCTTCATGCAACGGAAAATGGCAGCTGGGTAGCAGCACCAGTGAAACACTGCATGTGCACCGCCTTCTCCCCCGTTTCCACAGGACCTGCGACTTTGTGCATTCGTGTAGCTGTAAAGGAATGCCTGAGGCTGGGTCCTGACTTCGGCTCGGCTCAGGGCGACGTTTCAAATCTTATTTATTTTTATTTTTATTTATTTATTTATTTATTTTGAGACAGAGTTTCGCTCTTGTCACCCAGGCTGGAGTGCAATGGCGTGATCTCGGCTCACCGCAACCTCCGCCTCCTGGGTTCAGGCAATTCTCCTGCCTCAGCCCCCCGAGTAGCTGGGATTACAGGCACACCCCACCATGCCCAGCTAATTTTTTGTATTTTTAGTAGAGGCTGGATTTCACCATGTTGACCGGGATGGTCTCGATCTCTTGACCTCGCGATCCACCCGCCTCGGCCTCCCAAAGTGCTGGGATTACAGGCGTGACCCACCGCGCCCGGCTATTTTTATTTTTTGACTTGGAGTCCTGCTCTGTCTCCCAGGCTGCAGTGCCATGGTGCCATCTCGGCTCACTGCAACCTCCACCTCCCCTGTTTAAGTGATTGTCCTGCCTCAGCCTCTGGAGTAGCTGGGACTACAGGCACCTGCCACCATGCCCAGCTAATTTTTGTATTTTTAGTACACACAGGGTTTCGTCACGTGTGTCAGGCTGGTCTCGAACTCCCGACCTCAGGTGATCCGCCCGCCTCGTCCTCCCAAAGTCCTGGGATGACATGCGTGAGCCACCGCACCCGGCCTCCTTTCTAGTTTTCTGTCACCGAGGATTACCAGAAGTCGGGAGTCACGGGATTTCAAACCTCACTTCTCTGGCAGTGTACCCTAAAGGTTAGCAGCTGAGAGGAAGCTTCTCAGAACAGATGAGAAGCAGGGTTATTTGCTAAGTTTCTTTCTTTCTTTCTTCTTTCTCTTTCTTTCTTTCTTTCTTTCTTTCTTTTTCTTTCTTTCTCTTTCTTTCTTTCTCTTTCTCTTTCTTTCTTTCTTTTTCTTTCTTTCTTTCTTTCTCTCTCTCTCTCTCTCTCTTTCTTTCTTTCTTTCTTTCTTTCTTTCTTTCTTTCTTTCTTTCTTTCTTTCTTTCTTTCCCTCCCTCCCTCCCTCCCTCCCTTCCTTCTTTCTTTCTTTTCTTTCTCTCTTTCTGTCTTTCTTTTTTTGAGACGGAGTCTCGCTCCGTCACCCAGGCTGGATTGCAGTGGCACAATCTCGGCTCACTGCAGCCTCCACCTCCCGGGTTCAAGCGATTCTCCTGCCTCAGCCTCCCGAGTAGCTAGGATTACAGGCATGGGCCACTAGGCCTAGCTAAGGTTTGTATTTTTAGTAGAGACAGGGTTTCTCCGTGTTGGCCAGGCTGGTCTCAAACTCCCGACCTCAGGTGATCCACCCACCTCTGCCTCCCAAGGCGTTAAAATTACAGCTGTGAGCCTCTGTGCCCGGAGTGAAACTGTTCATTTTAATGCTTAGGTTTAAGACGGTGTGGACAGCTGTGTAGAAACAGAACCGGAGGGAAGGGGGCTGGTCTAATGCTATGGGCTAGGGAGGAAACCCGGCGAGGCCAGTCTGTCTAGATTCTTCTCAACCTCTCTGGCCAGCCTTCCTTTCTCTGGGTGAGGGTAGGACCATCTCTGGAATGAGAGTCTTAGGACCTTTAGCCAAACAAGGTAGGTCACGGAATTTCCTTGTGGCCATTTTTATTTTTATTTTGGAGATGGGTATGATCTCGGCTCACTGCAACCTCCACCTCCTGGGTTCAAGCGCTTCTCCTGCCTCAGCCTCCCGAGTAGCTGGGACTACAGGCACCTGCCACCATGCCCAGCTAATTTTTGTATTTTTAGTAGAGACAAGGTTTCACCCTTTTGGCCAGGCTGGTCTCGAACTCCCGACCTCAGGTGATCCGCCTGCCTCGGCCTCCCAAAATGCTGGGATTACAGGTGTGAGCCACCACGCCCGGCCGAGATTCTGTCTCCTAAATAAACAAACAAACAAATAAAATCTGGCAGGTAGACGCTTGGGAAGCGGGGAGCACTGATTGCTCAGGCTGCAGACGGAATCACAGGTGGTTAGAGGGAGTTTTTCCTCCCATGTTCTGTTCATGGGTGGGTGTCGCAAAACTGGTTGAATCTGGGTAGTTTAGACTCTTGGACCTAGAGACTTCATGACCCCTAAAACCTATTATTCTTTCTTTCCTTTTCTTTTTTTTTTTTTTGAGACAGTTTCACTCTTGTAGCCCAGGCTGGAGTGCAATTGTGAGATGTCGGCTCACAGCAACCTCTGCCTCCTGGGTTCAAGTGATTCTCTTGCCTCAGCCTCCCCAGTAGCTGGGAGTAGAGGGGTCCGCCACCACGTCTGGCTAATTTTTTATATTTTTAGTGGAAATGGGGTTTCACCATGCTGGCCAGGCTGGTCGTGAACTCCTCACCGGGCGTCCACCTGCCTCAGCCTCCCAAAGTGCTGAGATGGCAGGTGTGGATCACTGAGCTTGGCCCCTGGCGTCCTTTTCATCTGTGGGGTCATGATCCTTCTTCCCTTTTATTTTATGTATTTATATTTATTTATTTATTGGACATGGAGGTTTGCTCTTGTTGCCCAGGCTGGAGTGCAGTGGCACAATCTCAGCTCACTGCGACCTCTGCCTCCTGGGTTTAAGCGATTCTCTCACCTCACCCTCCCTGGTAGCTGGAATTACAGGCATGCACCACCACATCCAGATAATGTTTATCGTTTTAGTAGAGACGGGGTTTCATCATGTTGGCCAGGCTGGTCTCAAACTCCTGGCCTCAAGCGATCTGCCTCCATTGACCTCCCAAAGTGCTGGGCTTACAAGTGTGACCACCACACCCAGTCCATTTGTTTAGCATTTAAACAGTAGCTTCTAACTGTCCTAGCTATTTTTTTTTTTTTTTTTGAGATGGAGTTTTCCCCTCATTGCCCAGGTTGGAGTGCAATGGTACCATCTCTGCTCACCGCAGCCTCCACCTCTTGAATTCAAGTGATTCTCCTGCCTCAGCCTCCCCAGCAGCCGAGATTACGGGTGCCTGCCACCACACCTGGCTAATTTTGTACTTTTAGTAGAGACGGGGTTTCTCCATGTTGATCAGGCTGGTCTTGACCTCCCGGCCTCAGGTGATCCACCCACCTCGGCCTCTTAAAAGATTGACACTGGTCGTCACAGAAGATGTGTCTGAATCCTAAAGCCCAGAACCTCGAAATGGGACCTTATTTGGAAACAGGGTGTTTGCAGATGTGACGACTCAAAGATCTCAAGGCAAGATCATCCTGGATTAGTGTGGGACCTGAATCCAATGACAGCTGTCCTTCTAAAAGACTGAAGAGGACACACAGACACAGAGGAGGAGGCCACAGAGGAGGAGGCACAGACTCCAGTGGTGGGGCCACAAGCCCAGGGATGCTGGAGCCCCCAGGAGCTGGGAGAGGCAGGAAGGAGCCTCCAGAGTGAACGCAGCTGTGAGCCACCTAGATCTCAGACTTGTGGTCTCCAGGACGGGGAAAGGATAAATCTTTTTTTTTTTTGGAAACCTCCTAACCTGTGTTAATTTATTACTGCAGACTTAAGAAAGTAACAGCTGCGTGCGGTGGCTCAGGCCTGCAATCCCAGCACTTTGGGAGGCTGAGGTGGGCGGATTGCCTGAAGTCAGGAGTTCAAGACCAGGTAGGCCAATCTGCTGAGACGCCGGTTCTACTAAAAATATTTTTTAAAAACGCCGGGCACAGCGGCTCATGCCTGTAATCCCGGCACTTTGGGAGGCCTAGGTGGGCAGATCACCTGAGGTCAGGAGTTCAAGACTAGTCTGGCTAACATTGTGAAACCCTATCTCTCCTAAAAGTACGAAAATTAGCCAGGCGTGGTGGCACACGCCTGTAATCCCAGCTACTCAGGAGGTGGAGGCAGGAGAATCACTGGAACCCAGGAGGCAGAGGTTGGGGTGAGTCGACATGGCGCCATTGCACTCCAGCCTGGGCAACAGAGCAAGACTCCATCTCAAAATAAAGAAAAAAGAAAAAAAAATTAGCCAGGTGTGGCGGTGGACATGTATAATCCCAGCTACTCAGGAGGCTGAGGCAGGAGAATGGCTTCAACCCAGGAGGCAGAGGTTGCAGTGAGCTGAGATCTTTCACTGCACTGCAGCCTGGGTAACAAGAGTGAGACTTTGTCTCAAAAAACAAAAACAAAGAAACTAACACAGTTGCATTTTTCCTGGTTTTGCCTGCCGGCTTCATATTGGAGGGTAAAGTGGGTCGCCATGATTCCATCTTGATGGAAGGTACAGTTCTCAGTTCTCCGCCTCCCTCCCACGTCACCTTCAGATGACATTGTTTATTTATAGTTCCCTGCCTTTCCAGAAACCATGGTTCCGTGCGTCCTGCACCTGCAACGCTAAGCCCAGAACGTGGCCCTCCCTGAGTGACGTGTTGGTCGGACTGAGCTCTGACACTCATCTCAGTACCTCTCAGCCACTTCCTGCAGGTGTCTGTCCTGGTCTGCAAACAGGGGACGGGGACATCTTTTGCCTGATGAAAACGCGGCCCATAAAATGTCACTGCTTCAACAGACTCAGCCTTCCCTGTGGCATCTCCTCGGCATTTCCCTTGCTGGGAATCCCCAGTTCTCTCTTTGCAATGAGGGGCGTGGGCTCAGCAGGGACTTTCTGTTTTCCTGCCCTCAAGTTTCCTCTTAGCTAAAAACAACTGTGCCTCTCTTTTCTCAGGGGAAGGAACGGGAGACAGGAGACAGTAAGATATAAAGCATAGAGACAGAATTTACATGCTGGGCTGGACACGGTGGCTCATGCCAGTAATTCCAGCACTTTGGGAGGCCGAGGCCAGCGGGTCACCTGAGGTCAAAAGTTCGAGACCATCCTGGTCAACATGGTGAAACCCCGTCTCTACTAAAAATACAAAAAATTAGCTGGGCATGGTGGCGCGTGCCTGTAATCCCAGCTACTCAGGAGGCTGAGGCAGGAGAATTGCCTGAACCCAGGAGGCGGAGGTTCGGTGAGCCAAGATCGCGCCATTGCACTCCAGCTTGGGCAACAAGAGCGAAACTCCGTCTCAAAAAAAAAAAAAAAAAAAAAGAAAAGAATAAAGGCCAGTGCAATAATAGGTCACGCCTGCATTCTCAGCACCTTGGGAGGCCGAGGTGGGTGGATCACTTGAGGTCATGGGTTTGAGACCAGCCTGGCCAACATGCCGAAACCTCCATCTCTACTAAAAATATGAAAATTCGCTGGGCGTGGTGGCCCACAACTGCAGTCCAAGATACTCGGGAGTTTCAGGAAGGAGAATGGCTTGAACCCAGGAGGCGGAGGTTGCAGTGAGCTGAGATCCAGCCACTGCACTCCAGCGGGCGACACAGTGAGATTCCCTCAAAGAATAAAGAAAAAAAGAACTGAGATGGTGGCAGAGTTTGGGTGTTTTTCCCTGCACACGTCATGTTGAAATGGGATGGTCAGTGTTGGGGTGGGGTCTGGTGGGACGTGTTTGGGTCATGGGTGAGTCCTTGGTGCTATCCTCACATTACTGAGGTAGTGAGTGGTCCTCTGTGAGTTCGTGTGAGAGCTGGCCGCTTTTATTTTTTTGAACCTTCACCTACTGGGTTCAAGCGATTCTCTTGCCTCAGCCTCCCAAGTAGCTGGGATTACAGTGGCGTGGCACCATGCCCGGCCAATGTTTTGTAATTTTAGTAGAGACAGGATTTCACCATGTTGTCCAGGCTGGTCCCGAACTCCTGACCTCAGGTGATTCGCTCACCTTGGCCTCCCAAAGTGCTGGGATTACAGGTTCGCGCCCGGCCCATCTATCTTTTATTATAAGAATTTATCATCCGTCATCGACATATCACCTACCATCTATCATATGTGAAATGATCACTTATTTTATCAGTCAATCTATCTTATTTTTATTTCATTTTATCTTTGAGATGGAGTCTTGCTCTGTCACCCAGGCTGCAGTGCAGTGGCGCG